GTATATAAAAGCACGTACGTGTATGTGTGTGTGTGGTTTGTATGTAGATGTGCTTATGGATGAATGAGAAATATATTATGTAATCACTCTGGAAGTCACTCAAGGGTACAAAGAGTATGAAAATCAAAAGTGTAACTCTTATACATCTCTCATACTTTATATTATTAAAATATGTATATTTAATAATAAAAATGTGCTAATTTTTTTTTAAATTAAGCTTATTAAAAGCAAGCATCATTGTAAGACTATGTGCGTAAAATAAAATAAAATAAATATTTTCTCATTGTTGCTTTTCAGACAACAATGGGAAAATAAAATGGTCTTGAATGTAATAGTTGTAAGAAATAAAATAGTTACATACCTCCTATAGTAAGATTAACTTTCTTTTCGTAAGTATCGTCGACGAATGCCTTTTGCAGTGCAAAAACCTCGATAGGAGGTCCCAATTCTATTCCCGTGAATCTGGACATCATGTTGTAAATGCGAGCAAACGATAGATAACAAGTAATAATATAAAGAATAAAGTCAAATTAAGAATTGGTACGAAAGGAAGAAAAGTTTACAATTACAACGTGAATAGAAATATGCTGGAATATGTGAAGAGAGCGGTGTTGAAATGAAGTCGCGTGAAGATTGGCGACTGCGAATTTGCCAAGTGATCTTTAATCTGTTTTGTGTGTGTGTGTGTGTGTGTGTGTGTGTGTGTGTGTGTGTGTGTGTGTGTGTGTGTATACGCTCGACTTTTTACACCGTTACACCGATTGACGTAAGGGAAGACACAAGTATAGTACTTCACTTTCGTATCATGTGATGTGCAGTGGCTCTCAATACATTTGCAATACTATTGGCTATCGAATGCAACCTTAAGCTGAATACATATGTACATGTTTCATCCTGGTGCTGAATGCACTAAACGTATATTAAACATTTATATATATATATATACAATCGCCGGTGTGTATACACATAGAGAGATTTTCCCAATGTAAATTATTTCAAAGCTAATAGCCATCTTTCGTATGGCACGCGTTTGAAAGATATGATTTAGCATTTGAAAATCCGTAGTTGTCTACGTAGGTTATATATTCACAAATCGAATGATATGTGATTGAAAACAAATGAATTTAAAGCATTTGATCGAGCAATCGGAAGAAAGAATTTTACCAATTAACCTATCAAGAGAATGCAAATGGAAGATGAAGTCTGGAAACGTTGAATGGCAAGTTACTTCGCACTGTTTTGTGATTGGTGCATAAAATCGTATCCCCTCACTCCTCCCATCAGTTCACGGCGATTCGTTTCAGGGCATGATTTTTGAGTGTGCATATTTGAGCGTAGTGGAATGGTTTATTGTATGCGTACGAATTTGTGGAATAACAAGAAAAGAAATTCAAACGCATTTTGACACGAGCTCGTCCGGCAGATAACATTGAATTGTGTTCAATTGCGTCGAATGTTCAAGTACATACATACACGCTGACACGCGACGTGTACCTATATTTTTGTGAATGTTAACGAAAGATAAATGAGTTTACAAGATAGCCTGTTTACCGAGGATGTTGAATGCGACGTAATTGTCTTTACGAAGGATAAAACACGTAAGAGGTACGAGAAAATTATAACGAGCATTCTTTGAATAGAATATCGACGCCGACATCATGTTTGAAGGTTAGTTTTCCTCACGGTATCCGTTGGTGGCTGTGAACGCGTAAACAGTTTCATTTCCTCTCGACTTTGAATGACTATTACATTTGCATATATATGTGTATAGATATTGGCAAGTAAAGGATTCGTGAAGATATCGAATTGAATGAGATTATGTGAGTGGCGCATTCCCATGGTATAGGATTTAGCACAGGATTTATAAATAGCACAAGATATATATAGTTTTCGTACAAGTTTTGTACGAGTTTTAAGTAGTTTTTGCTACAGTACAAAGCTGAATCATGATTTCATTTTTTTTTTATTATTATCTAAATACTCCTCCTAACCACTTATTCTCATATACGCTATTTACGATTTGTGCTGTGTAAATTAATGCAAATAATTTTGGGCTTGTTGATATACAAAGCGATATATTGAGATTTGTGAATGTCGGTGGGATGCACGATATATATCAAAAATAGTAATCCTGAAAAGTTTAATATCTCGTAATAGACATTACATTTGTAAGTATCTATTTCTGTTCAATGCAATATTTGTATTATTCCATATTAGATATTTATTTAATTTTGACTATGTCGACGTTTCAT